AACTCAATTTTCAAATTACTTAGGGAATCAGCTCCCACTGATGTTGTAGACGTAGAAGGTTCCAGACCCTGATAATTCAGACTGAGAGAATTCTCATTATCCCTCTGGAGATTTTTCCAATTACTGCTTCCAATGAAATCTCTCAAGATTTCAAGTATCAATTTGTTTCTAGGTGTGGGGGGTTTTGATCTGTATAAGACCACAAAGACTGCACAGGCAATAACAGAAGGACAGATGGCTTTAACTGTTCACACTTTTGTTAGAATCAAAGTAAATAAATTAATTTCACATCTATAATCAGTACTCAGGTACCAGCATCTGAATATATTTGTGCATGTTTGCATGTTTATGGTTTGAAGGTGGAGAACATTGAGAATATTCTTGGCACGAATATTCCAAAAGTCCCTAAAAGCAATTTTGGTAAACAGAAATCCAATAAAACTTAGCCTACGATAACTTCTGCGTTGTAAAAGTTTTAATTACAGCGGTTCAAGAAGGCAGCTCACCACCACCTTCTCAAGGGGCAACTAGTGACAGGCAATAAATGCTGACCCAGCCGATGACACCTACGTCCTACGTGTAATATAAATAAAAAATTGAAGGTACACTTTTTGAGAGTTGTGGCCGGTGCTGCTAAGCAATTGTTGCCTATCCCTAATTGGCTTTGGATTGAGTGATGTGTGCAGCCTATCAGAGTCAACAGTCAACCATATTTCTGTAGGTCTGGAGTCACATATGGGTCAGACTGGGTAAGGATGGCAGATTTCTTTACCTAAAGGGCATTAGTGAACCAAGCGGGTTTTTACACAACCCTCCGTGATTTCATGGCTACCATTGCTGGGATTAGCTTTCAATTTCGGATTTCTACTACTGTAAATTCCACCAGTTGCCATTGGGAAATTTAAACACGTATCCAGAGCATTAGCCTGGGTGCCTGCTTCAATAATCTACCAACAGTGCCATTTTGCCACCATTAGCTCCTGGCAGTAGGACAGATTGTACATATTACCTTGGTGTGATTCTCATTTATCTGAACTCCTGATGCTGTGGCAGTAAAATCATGGATTGGTAATGTACTCAGCCAACTGGCCATGGACTGCTCCTCAATTTCAGTCTTGATGATGGTTGGATAGATATGATCTTCTTTAAATCCCATTATTTGGTCCTCAATGTCATGCCACTCCAGTGCCTCATGAACTCCATCATTGCCAAAACGGTTGTTGTACTTCTCAAAATGGACTGTGTCCAATACAAGCCCCAGTCCTGGAGCCTTTGGGACATCAACCTTTTCCTCGCCCCAGCTCCGAACCATGATGGACTCTGGGGCGTAACCTCTCACTATGGCAATCACTAATCCAATCATTTTCCTAATTTGATGCATCATGAAACTTTGCCCTTTCACCTTCAGGACAGCGAATTCCATGCCTTGCCTCACGAATGGCTCTTCACAATACATTTCCATTATGTATCGCTTAGCGCTGGGGTCTCTTGGACCCTTCCCAGATGTGAAGTTGTGGAAATTGTGGGTCCCCTTGTAGCTGGCTAACAGCCTGTTGACATGGCTCAGTGCGTCACTGCTGAGACGATACTCTCTATCCTGCCTGTCATGGTCTTTGTGGGCAAAGGAGAAGGTTGGGAGCATATAGAAATAGGTCCGAGCATCACAGGTGTTCTTCGAGTTGAATCTCCCAGTTACTCTCTTTAGTCCTGAAAAAGAAGGCATTGCATCTGATGAGACCAATCTGCTGGCAATTTTATAGAATCATAGAATGGCTACAATATGGAAGCAGGCCATTCAGCCCATCGAGTCCACACTGACTCTTCAAAGAGCATCCCATCCAGACACATCCCCCTTTGCTGTCCCTGTAACCTTGCATTGCCCATGGCTAACTCACCTAACCTAACATCCCTGGACACTGTGGGCAACTTAGCATGGCCAATCCATCCCAACCTGCACATCTTTAGACCATGGAATGAAACTGGAGCAAACCCACAGAGACAAGGGGAGAATGTGCAAACTCCACACAGACAGTTGCCTGAGGGTGGAATTGAACCTGGGTCCCTGGTGCTGTGAGGCAGCAGTGTTAACCAGTGAGCCACTGTGCTGCCCTGTAATTTTCATTACATTTGATTTTGAAAAACATGGTTTATTTGGTCTCCCCTCCTGCTCTTCTCCCTGGTATTAGTCTCTTCATATCAATACTCACCAACATGATCTTGCAGAATTAATCCTTCATGGCTCTGGAACAGAGGGTGACCAGTAGCCAATAGCATCCATTGTAACTTTCTCCCTGGTCAAAACTGGAAGCCTTCATAGGGACACTCACTGAGTTTGTGTGATAGGCGAAGGGGAAAAGGGTAATGGGTGGAAGTAGGGATTAAGGTAGCATAGGGGTATAAGTAATCATGAGGATGGGTAAAAGAGGCATTGGGTGACATAGGGTAAATGAGGGTCTATGGGATGGGTACAAGGCATAAGGCTGCACGGGTTGGCATAAGTGGAGCACCAGATGTGTCAGGTGAGTGGAATGAGTGAAGGCTGGAGGAATGTCTCCTATTCCTAGAGGGAAGGCACCTCATGATAGCTGTTGCCAAAACATCTGTGGAGGAGGTGAGGCACTCTTTGGGATTGTGAAAAGGTTGCTTGTGTGTAACAAGTACAAAAACTCACTGGGACTACAAAAGGTGCAAAATTCTATGGTTCTAACCATTCACATAGACATTGTAGTTTTTGTGCTTCATGGATGATTTCCAAAATAATTAATTTCACAATAGAGGCCCTATCAAGTGACCATTTGGATGGGACAGATCCAACTGCTTTTAAAATGGATATTTTTGTTTACCTGAAACGTTGAGAACTGGAGTAAAATGTTTGCTTTCGTAAAGGAACAGAGAGGTGATATCAACGGAAATAACGACTTTCTTTCAAGGTGTCACCTGAGTTATGCACACACTTGGTAATAGGTGAATTGGCAAGGAAAGGGAAAGGCAAAGAGTGATGGGTAGACATGAGTTGGTATTAGGTTGTAAGAGGGTATCAAGGCTATAAACAGCCATGAGGTAGATTTGGGGGCATATGCAGTATGAGGGACCATGGGTAGCTGGACACAGGATGGGTGAAAGATCATGAGGGGGTGGATACATGGACAAGAGGTTGGCACGGATGGGGACTGAGAGTGAGGGGGTGAAAGCAAGAGGTGTGTTTTCAGTTTGAATCTTGATCTTAAACTTTTAACACATGCAGGAACCTTGAGGTAGGCCTTCCCAAGGGAACTTTACATTTCACTCCCAGGTCTAGCCCATCCTCTCCGGATGGAAAACAAAGTGAGGGCAGATATTTCGAAAGGTGAGTTGGTGGAACAGAAATTTCTCCTAGGTTTGAATACCGACCCTGGGAAGTAGAATCAGAGCTCCGGAGGACTGTACAGAGTTTCGATTTCCCTAACTGAAGGAGAAAACGCTTGCAACAGGACAGAAGGTCATGTCTATGATAGATTCAGCAGTCTGGGCTATCGTTCTCTGGAATTAAGAATTAGTAGTGATCTAAATTAAATGTAAGCATTTTTAAAGTGTTTACCAGGCTAGATGCAGAGATGATGTTTCCCCCAGCAGGCAAGTCTGGACGGAGGTAGGGGTCATAGTCTCACAATAAGGGGCTTATCCATTTCAGACTGAGGAGGAGAAATGTCACTCAGAATTGGGAATTTTGGAATTCCAAAAGGTGCTCAGTCGTTGAGGAAAGTCAAGGGAGAGATTGCTGATTTTTGGACATGGAGGGAGTTGCAGCATTTTGTGGGGGGGGTAGGAGAAATCAGATCTGCCACAATTTTAATGAATGGAGGAGGCAGCTCAATGGGGCCAAATGGCCTCCACCTTCAGAAACATTAAAATGCAGGATGGAAATTAAAAAATGTGCGTAGACAGTGAACCTCATCAAAGTGCTATTATGGGAAGACTTCTCAACTGCAACGTGGTTAATTTATAAACCGGTGACTAGGAGCCACCCATCCCCACTATCTGACCCTCAACATTCAGACAATTCGCTTTTATTTGCACTGTGCTTTGTTATTTGTTCATTGGTACATCTGGTATGAATTTGGAGAGTTACAGAGAAAGCTATTGCTCACATTCACTGAGTAAATTAACACACCAAGATCTACTCATATCATAAAATCATGCAGGGCATAGATAAGGTGAATGGCAGGTGTTTTTTCACTAGGATAGGGAATTTCAAGGCTATGCGGCATCTTTTTAAGGTGAGAGGAGAAAGATTTAAAAAACACGTGAGCAACTTTTTTTTTAAACACAGATGGTGGTTCGTGTGTAGAACGAACTCCCAGAGGAAGTTGTGGATGTGTTTGGATAAGTACATGAATGAGAAATATTTGGAGGGAAACAGGCCAAGTGCAGGCAGGTGGGACTAGCTTAGTTTGGGATTATGGTTGGCGTGGACTGGCTTGACTGAAGGGTCTGTTCCCATGCCGTATGACTATCAGTAGCTTGCGATCTGGAACTGACTGGATTGTGCTATAGAAAGCTAGCACAGCTCAACAGGCCGAATGGCATCCTCTATACCATTCTGACTTATGCAGATGATCAGAAGTAGAAGTATAAGTTTCATTTGTGGTCCTCGTGGTCCATACTATATCCCAAGGCTCCTCCCATGTCACCTCCCACAACACACAACCTCCACATCAGAAGGACAAGGGCAGCAGATACATGGGAACTTCATCCCCTACAAGTTCCCCTCCGAGTCACTAACCGTCCTGTCTCAGAAATATATCGCCGTTCCTTCAGTGTTGCTGGATCAAAATCCTGGAAATCCCTCCCTAAAAGCATTGTGGGTCAACCTACAGCACATGGACTGCTGCGGTTCAGGAAGGCAGCTCACCCCCACCTTCTCAAGGGGCAACTAGGGACGCAATGCCCACACCCGCATGAATGAAAATGAAAAGAACCTCCGCGGTCCATCTAGCTAAAGAAAACTTGGGTCACCACAGTGAGAGGCTTGAACAATGCTGGGGAACTGTAAATCAATTAAAAGCCAATTAACATATCTGCCGCTTCAGTTTCAAATAACTGCCTTTCACACTAATGTTTGCCCACACATTTCCTGTCTCAGCCTGGTATATCATATTTATACAGAAACTCCCACACCAAATTGTCGTATAAAACACAAATTAAAAGATGATATACCTAGTATTTTAATGCCCGCTGGTAGGTGTTCATTGACCTTATCCAACAGGTCATCAATGAGCCAGAGTTTCAGAGAGACAATTTGACCAGCAGCAGAAACACCCTGGAAAATAACCAAAATAACAACATTTTAACAGACCCCACATTATGGGGTAAAGTATAATCCAAGCTGACAACGGGGAAACTGGGGGATTGGGTGCAATGTTAGCTGTTCACTGCAGTGAAGTCAGAAGACATCAACACCGAGCAGGATATTCAACTGTATCAGGCAGAATTCCCACCCGGACAGTTAGCTAAAATTACCTCCCATATTTCTACTGCAATGCATTATAAAAATATAAATTACAGACTATGCGATTTCCTCTTGCAGAATAACTGTGAAATGAAAAGGATTTGAGATATGGTGGGAACGGTCACAAAGGTCAGACTCAGACACTTGCTGCAGATAACGGGGGTTTGCACGGTAAAACTAACCTGGGTCATTACTGCTCAGATCTTTGCGGTCTTTTACAGAGCAGGGTTAATTTTATCAGTCAAGGTTAAGTATATTCAGGAAGGGGGCATTCGTTGGATATTCACCTGACTACATTCACTGGTACACTTGATGATCCCTATGGACTTCCCCATCCAAGGGTGTTAAAAGGGATGCTAATGAGGTAGCAGATGCAGCACTGTTAATTTTCCAAAATTTGCTAGATTCTGGAAAGATAAGATCAAATTGGAAGATAGCAAATATAGCCCTTCCATACAAGGAGGGAGGGAGATAGAAACAGGAAACTATAGGCCAGTTAACTTGATGCCTATTGGTCATGAAGATGATGATAGAATCAATCATTAAGGAGGTTATACTTACATGGATAGAAAGAAGGAATTTGGAAGAGCCACCATAGTTTTGCGAGAGGTAAATCATGTTTAATCAAGTTACTGCAGCTCTCTGAAGGAGGAACATGTGCTGTGGATAAAGGGAAGCCTGCAGACATACTAGTTTCCAAACAACATGTCAACATATTACATGCGGGCATCACTGGCTGGGCCCAGCATTTATTGCCCATCCCTAGTTGCCCCTTGAGAAGGTGGGGGTGAGCTGCCTTCTTGGAGTGCTGCAGAGCACTTGCTGTATGCCCTTAGGGAGGGAATTCCAGGATTTTGACCCAGTAACCCTGAAGAAACAGCGATATATTTCCAAGTCGGGATGGTGAGTGGCTCAGAGGGGAGCTTGCAGGGGGTGGTGCTCCCATGTATCAGCTGCCCTTGTCCTTCCAGATAGAAGCGGTCGTGGGTTTGGAAGGTGCTGTCTGAGGATCTTTGGTGAATTTCTGCAGTGCATCTTGTAGATGGTACACACTGCTGCTACTGAGTGTCGGTGGTGGAGGGAGTGGATGCTTGTGGACATAGTGGCAATCGAGTGGGCTGCCAAGGGAGTTGCATAGGAGCTCACGTAGGAAGTAATATTTTAGAATTGGTAGAGGATTAGTAGGTAGGCAGGAAACAGAGTGTGCATAAATGGATCTTTGAGTGATCATCAGGACATAACAAGAGAAATCCCACAGGGGTCAGCGCTGGGGCCTCAGTATTTTACACTTTACATCAATGACTTAGATGAAGAGAGCAAAGGCTTGCTGGTTAAATTTATGCATAGGTAGGTTGTGAATAGGACAGGAGATTGCTGACTGGTAGGGAGATTGAATGAGAAAAAACATCTGGTAGAGTATAATGTGGGAAAATGTGAAGTTGTTCAATTTGGCAGGAAGAATAAAGAAGGGGTGTGTTTCTTAAATTGAGAATGACTGCAGGATTTGAAGTGCAGAGACATCTAGCTGTTCTACTGCATTAGTCACAAAATATTAGTATTCAGGTACAGCAGTTGATTCAGAAAATTAATGGAATGCTATTCGTTATCATGACAGGAATTGAAAATTAAAGGAAGAATGTTATGCTTTATTTACACAGGCTTCTAATCAGACCACATCTCTGCAATTTTGGTCTCCTTACTTGATACAAATGTGAATAAAAATCGAAAGAACTGCGGATGCTGTAAATCAGAAACAAAAACAGAAATTGCTGGAAAAGCTCTGGCAGCATCTGTGAAGAGAAATCAGAGTTGAACGTTTCAGATCCGGTGACCCTTCCTCAGAACTTTGAAGAAGGGTCACTGGACCCGAAACGTTAACTCTGATGTTAGCATGAGGGTGGTTTAGAGTAGGTTTACTGGGATGATACCTGGAACCAGAAGGTTTTTATTTATTTAATCATGGGATGTGGACATTGCTGGCTGCAGCAGTATTCATTGCCTCTTCCTGACTGCCCTGGAGGAAGTGGTGGTGAGGTGTCTGCAGCTCTGGAGTGTGGGGCTGTTAGGGAGGGAGTTCCAGGATCTTGACCCAGCAACACTGAAGGAACAACCAATATACTTCCAAGTCAGAATGGTGTCTGACTTAGTCATAGAGTCTTGGAGGAGAACCTACAGGTTGCCATGTATCTACTGCCCTTGTCCTTCTAAGTAGTAGAGGTCGTGCGTTTGGAAAGGGTGATCAGAGGGGACTTACTGCAGTACATCTTGCAGGTGGCACACACTGCTGCTACTGTGTGTTAGTGGTGAAGGGAGTGAATGCTGAAAGTGGTAAATGGTTGCCAATCGAGCTTCTTGAATGTTGTTAGAGCTGCACCCATACAGGCAAGTGGGCAGTGTGCCATCGTGCATTGTAGATGATGCATCAATACAGGCTTTGGGAAGTCAGGTGGTGAGTTATTTTGCTGCAAGATCCCTAGCCTCTGATCTGCTCTTGTAGCCACTACGTTCATACAGTTAGTCCAGTTGAGTTTCTGCTCATTGGTAAACCCCAGGATGTTGATAGTATGGGGGACTTAGTGATGGTAACACTTAGTACAGGGTGGCATGACGGCTCAGTGGTTTGCATGCTGCCTCACAGCGCCAGGGACCAGAGTTCGATTCCACCCTCAGGCGACTGTCTGTGTGGTGTTTGCACACTCTCCCTGTGTCTGCGTGGGTTTCCTCTGGGTGCTCCGCTTTCCTCCCACAGTCCAGAGATGTGCAGGCTAGGTGGATTGGCCATGCTAAATCACCCATAGTGCTCAGGGATGTGTAGATTAGGTGGGTTATAGGGGAATGGGTCTGGGAGGGATGCTCTGAGGGTCAGTGTGGACTTGTTGGGCCGAAGGGCCTGTTTCTGCACTGTAGGGATTCTATGATTCGATGATCAATGAATGTCAAGGGATGATGGTTAGATTCTATCTTATTGGATACGGTCACTGACTCGTATTTGTGTCATGGAAATGTTACCTGCCACTTATCAGCCCAAACCTGAGTTCTGTCCAAATCTTGCTGCATTTGAACATGTTCTGCATCAATATCTTAGAAGCTAACGGTGTGAACATCCTCACTTCTGACCTAATGTAGGGAAGGTCATTGATGAAGCAGCTGAAGATGGCTGGGCCTAGGACACCACCCTGAGGTACTCCTACAGGGATGTCCTGCAGAGATGACTGACCTCCAACAATGACGACCAGCATCCTACGTGTCAGGTATGACTCCAACCAGAAGAGAGCTTGCCCCTGATTCCACTGACTCCAGTTTTGCTTGGGCTCCTTAATGCCACACCTGGTCAAATGCTGCCAACTGTCTTATGAGGAAAAGTTGGAGAGAATGAGCATGTTTCCACTGGAATTTAAAAGAGTGAGGGGCGACATGATTGAAGTGTATAAAATCCTGAAAGGTCCTGACAAAATGGACATGGAATGTTTCTGCCTGTGGGTGCTTCTGCTGGTCCAGGACTAGATGGTGCTTTTCCAAAGTAAAGCTTACTCAAAAGCTGCAATCTCCCAGTTATGGCACCTTCCTACTAAATATTTTCTGCATTTTCTCCAAATGTACTTTCTGCCATTTTAAAAAGAAGTACAGAGAGCAGATCTATCCACAGCACAGTCTGATTAGGCTCCTATAATTTACAGTTAAAATGTGAATAATTAACAATGCAGAGATGTTGGAATGTATTCAAGTGTGAATGGGAGTCCCTACTCAAAAGTTCCATGAGCGATCACAATAGATCTCAGTTAAAAGACATTCTGTTACACAATGAGCAATATAACTGGAAAACATGCTGAGTAAACAAAAACTCTTTCCCTATTTCAAGAAAGAGAAATTACAAATGGTACCTTGTCTGTCCTTGCACATCTCTGAAAGGACATTTTTCTCATATCATCACCATGGTTCTCTGGGATACATTTGGCCTTTACTAGTGCATTCACCAGCTCATCCTCAATCGTTTTAAACTGGGACGATCCAACATTTCTCTGTTTAAGACAATTCCAGAAAACATTTATTTGTTAATAACGCAAGATAATGAGCCATATGTTCATCCACATCTTTATTGCTGACTGCATTCATACAGCAAAGAAAAACTGTGCTGAAAAAGGCCATTCAGCCCGAGTCTACAATGGTCATATACTAACCGACTTATTTCAATCCTGTACACTTGGGTTGGTATTTAATACTTTGCCATCTCTCTATTTGGGACAGCAACTTCTCGCCATTCCCCTTGCACCAGCTGCTCGTCATTTAGTCTCTTGCCCTCCCATCCTATCACAGACCTTGTCCTTTCCAGCACCCCACCCTGATCCCATCCACCGTCACCCACATCCCTGTTGCCCCCTCTGACCCTATCACCATCCACTCAAAACCCACTCTTCCCCTGCATCAGTAATTGCATCAAACTGTTATATCTTCAAGATCTTCTGTTCTGTTGATGAGCATCAACCTGAAATGTTAATCCTGTTTGTCTCTCTGAGGGTGTAGCCTGGCCTGCTGAATAATTCTAACATTTAACATTTCTAACATGTCAAACAGGAGCAGGTACATACCATACAACTTCCTGAACTTGCCCCACGATTCACGACAATCCCAGCTGACCTTTGATATCAACATCACCTTCCACTTGCTCCCTGTGTCTTGATTCCTTTCAGATCTATCTATTCCACCCTTCAACATACCCAAACTGTGAGCAATCTAGGAAAAGGATTCCAAAGATTCACAATCTTTCATGTGAAGAATTTTTCCTACCTTGATCCCAAATGGCTGACTCTTCATGAGATTGTGCCCCACTGCTCTAGACACCTCAGTCAGAGGAAAACAACCACTTGACATCTAATCTATACACCTGACTCCCCAAAGCCTGCCCACCGTCTACAAGGCACAAGTCAGGAGTGTGATGGAATATTCCCCACTTGCCTGGATGAGTGCAGCCCCAACAACACTCAAGAAGCTTGACACCATTCAGGACAAAGCAGCCCCCACTTGACTGGCACCACATCCACAAACATCCACTCCCTCCACCATCAGTAACAGCAGTGTGTACCATCTACAAGATGCACTGCAGAAATTCACCAAAGATCCTCAGACAGCACCTTCCAAACCCACGACCACTTCCATCTAGAAGGACAAGGGCAGCAGATACATGGGAACACCACCCCCTGCAAGTTCCCCTCCAAGCATGTCACCATCCTGACTTGGAAACGTATCACCGTTCCTTCACTGTCGCTGGGTCAAAATCCTGGAATTCCCTCCCTAAGAGTATTATGAGTTTACCAACACCAAATGAACCGCAATGAGGCAGCTCACCACCACCTTCTCAATGGGCAACTAGAAATGGACAATAAATGCTGGGCCAGCTCGCAAAAGTCACATTCGTTGAATTAATTAACAAAAGAAGTCTGACACGTCCTCTAAAAATTTATCACATTTCAAACAGCTCCCATTCGTGCCAATTGTAGACCAAGTGACTGCTGGGTAATATTCTGGGGAGGATTGATCACCTTATCGTAAATTTTAGACTAGTAATACAGAAACAGCAAGGGAATAATCAAGGTACAAGGTGAGGTTATGATGAGCCTTTCTAAAGCTCTAGTTAGGCCACAACTACAGTATCGCACTTGGCTCTGGTCACTTTAGGAAGGCCGAGAGGGTCTTGGAGAGAGATTTACCCGACTGATTCTAGGGGAGAGGGGTTTTATGGACAGGGTTAAATTGAGGAGGCTGGAGATTTTTGCCTTGGAAATAATGAGGTTGAGGGGCAATTTGATCCAGATAGACAAGATTAAAATAAGGTTAGATACAACAGACAAAGAAAAGCTGTTCCCATTAGCTGATAGTACAAAGACTAAGGGACACATTTATAATTTAAGGCAGGAGGTGTGGGGGATGACATTTTTATGCAGTGGCAGTAACCTGGAACATGCTGTTTACGGGGCAATGGAGGAGGAAACAATTATCAATTTCAGATCAACACTTGCAGAAAACAATGCTGCAAAACTGCAGGGATAAGGAGGGGAAATGGGACTGAGCAGACTGGACTGCTCTACGTAGAGCAAACATGGATCTAATGGGCCTACTATTCCACTATCACTAATGATCCTACTATCTCTAATGGGCCAAATGTTGTTCCCAAATATCTTTACATATTGAATATTTCTGTTTCAGAGAAGAGTAGGGCAGAGGGAATGGAATGACCAGAATTACACAGGATACAAGTTGAACTCTCGTAAACAAGCTATAGAAGTCTAGTAATCAATCTAGTCATTAACAGCTGGTATGCCAATATCAACGGCACAAGGAGCTGTTCAGCTCTCCGCTGTTGTATGGCTAGACTTGCACCTGACACAATTCCACAATACGCAACTAATTTCTAACATGTACCGGAGTGGAACAGCAACTGGTAAGCTACTACAAGCACCACTTCCACGTTATATTACAGATCCACAGACAGATCGTCTCAAAATAATTTAAGGACTGTGTTTCGTCAGCCATTGTTCAACTAATTTCACAGAGTCATGCAGCACAGGAGGCCATTCACTCATCAAGTCTACACCAGCTCTTAGAAAAAGCTAATCTCATCCTGCTTTCCCTGTGGTCCTGTGAATGTTTTTCCTTCAAGTATTTATCCTCTTCCCTTTTGAGAGTAATTATCAAAACTGCTTCCACGGCCCTTTGCTGATGCATCCTGAATCACAATTATATACGGAATATTTCTTCATCTCCCCTCTGGCCCTTATGCATGTTATGTTTAATTTGTGTCCCTTTGGTTATGACCCTCCTACTATTGGAAACTTCTCCCTATTTACCAAAACTGCTCATCATGTTGAATACATATTTCCCCCTTAAATTTCTCTGCTCTGATGGAGAACAAGCCCTAGGTTTTGCAGACTACCAATAACACTCAGGGCCCCTAATATCTGGTACCATTCGAACACAATCTCTTCTGCTGAGGTCTTTGCATGCTTTTTCCAACAGAACAAACTGCTCCAATCCACACCCTTCAGTCATTCGCACTGGTCTCTGCACACAGGAGGTACTAAATGGGGGTGGGGGTTACACTGTGTGCAGTGACGGAGGGGGCCAGTGTGTAGGGGGTGTGTGTGTGTGTGTGTATGAGAGAGAGAGAGAGCGAGAGTGAGAGTGAGAGCGAGGGCGCGGGGGAGGGGGCGCGAGGGCACGTGAGAGAGTGCGCGAGGGCACGTGAGAGAGTGCGCGAGGGCACGTGAGAGAGTGCGCGAGGGCACGTGAGAGAGTGCGCGAGGGCAC